CCAAGCTCGATCATACACAAGCGTTCCTACGCCAACTGGTCCTGTGCTGCCGACTCAAATTTGATGTCTTTCGTTTGATTACTCATGCAGAGAACCTGGGCGTTGGACATTGAACGGTGAATTATTCCGCTTTTATATGCGTTGGGTTCAGCTCTGTTCGTGCTAGATAGTTTCTTCAGCTTCTTCAGCTTCTTTTCAACCGACGAAATCATCTCCTAGACCGATTTCGAGATTCCTTCATACACCTCGAATGCCATCAGATGGCGGAAAAGCCTTATAGCGATAGGTTACCAAGCCAATAAGGACTGGAACTGCTGGACATGTATGTGAGGGTAAAGAAATCTCCAGCCAACTCTTGATGGGATTCGCATGAGACCCTTGCACCTTGGACCTTATCTTCTCCAGGCAAGATGAGGCTGCCGTAGTATCCACCTGTAGTAAGAAGATGATCGTGTAAGGAATGTCTGGACAATCAGGTTCAAGGGTAACCTCAAGCTGTTGTTAACAGCAGCAACAAGATTGAGCTCTGAGAGTATTAGCCTCGTGAGTGGGCTCTCCCACTGCTGGTGGTGCTGCAAGATTCCCAAGAGGAGCATACAAACCAAGTTATGTGAAAACTAAATGGATCACCGCGTCTAGCATAACGAGCTGAAACCTTGAATTGAAGAGCGGGGCTGAAGTCGATGACTAGGGACGAAGTCCAGTATAACTCAAACCTGAAGATGATTGGAGAGTTCCTGATCTTGGATATTTGGGTCTCAGGATCGCGAGACAGAGGTAAGGTAAGGTACCTTTTGTCTGAAGGGGAGAGACGGTGCCGGGTTCTCATCAGGTGAGGAAGGAATCGGTAGGTCGAAAAGAAGAAGCACGTGTCGAGGATTGTAGAGCGCGAAGCGAAAGGTGACGTCGTAGGAAACCTGAATGACCAAACCCAAAGAAGTACGACGTACGAGAGGCTCGTATGTTGAAGGAAAGCCGATGGAAGACATACTAAGAGAAGATCTCTGGGGGCCAACGCCTAAAGCTGATCGCCTGGAACGAGGCTCGCAGAGCTCGGCAAAGCCAGGGCAGGCGATTTAATTCTCGCAGTGTATCAAGCTTGATTTGAGGTTGACTGGAGACTACGAGACTCATTCACTAGGTCTCCGAGGTTTACAGAGAGTCCAGATTGTGACCCAGGGTGACAAAGCTGATGAGGACGGGAAGAGATGAGAAGCTGGAGCGAGGCTGATGCAAATACTCAAGTTCGAAGGCTTCGAGCGGATCACTTGATACTGGCTGCGGAGAAAGCAATTGCGATCGAGTGGTGCCCGAAGGCCACGGTAAGAATGCTGGCCTGATACAGCAGACAGATGCACTGGCCAATGCAGATGGGGAGACTTGTATATACAAAAGACCAATTGCCAAGGCCTGAGGTTTGAGTCTTGGTGACAAAGACTCTAGAGTGCAGGGAGATGACCTTTTCGTTGAAGCCCCTGATGGCGAATGTCTTGGAATAACGTGCTAAGGAACAGATGACTTGAACTCCATCGAGCAGCCTCTGTCAAAGTGTCAAAAACTCTTCTTTGAGCAAATCACTATTGTTCACACATGCTTTGATGCAGGTTCATCACTGACCATTTCGTGACGCTTTTGTAGCGTGACTCAGACAAAGAGACGAATTGTTCACTGACAAAGAAAACCTCGTGTCTCTGAATATCAAAGAACCGTACCAGCCTATAAGTTTACCATCGCGAAATGAATCGTGGTTTTACTTACCATTACACATTTACAACTCGTCCACCTCAACAGCCCTTTACATAACTCACAAAAGTTTCCCCACTGCAATCTCAATAATTAACAAGCATGTGCACCGTGCCTAAAATTACCTGGACTTGCCCTCACTGCGGCAAGAAATCCGGCCCTGAATCAGGCCCGCTCCTCGAGTGCAGAGTCGCCGAGGGGGGGAAGAATTGCCAGAAGAGAAACCCGCAAGCAATGTCTGGGCCAAAGGCATGCGATGCTCACAAACATCTGCCAATCAAAGAGAAGGAGTGGGACGAGCGTTTCTGATACTGGCAGTGGAGCATGATAGAAGAGCGTTCTCTTGGGTAGATAGTTTAGTCAACATTCGCCTGTTTTCGTCCAGTATCAATCACCGTTACACCTTTTCCTCTACCAGAGTCTGAATCAGATAACGTCCCAAAATCCAATCGCGTGGTTCGCTGATGTGTAGTCGGAAGTGTCTTCTTGCCAAGCACTAAAGCTTACCGCACGTCCGACCCCAGGCAAGGTGATCGGCGGAGTCGAGGAGCTACAAAATGACCTCTGGTATAAATATAGTTTTGGATTCTGGCCCTATCATTCAATAGCAAAGATTACTCCAGTGACAATTCACGGTCTTGCATGCAACACCCGTATTACAGCTTACGACGCATGTGCCTTGTAGGGCTGCATGATAATGTCAGAATTAAGTTATGACCGTGTAGTATGATCGAAATTAACGTGCGTTGATTCAGAAATGAGCCAAGAGAAGGCTTCATGCGGCTGGATCCTGTCAGACTCTAGGGTTCTGTGACTCTCACGGGCCAGTCTTCACTGAACCCAGCCATGCTTATCATCCAACATGAGATATTTGAGGGTCTATTGAAGAAGACCCATCTTGGATGAAACAAGAGCCTTTCCTGCTAATCCCATCAATATTACAAGAGCTAACTCCGGTAATTAAATTGACCTCTGCGCCGTAAGCTAAGCCTTCAGCCCTTCAGCGCAGCCCCACCATGGACATGTCCGCGGACGACCCCGTAGAATCGGACAGCTCCACCTCCGATTGGCTGCACTGCCTCTGAGATTCGTGGTATAAGATGAGAGAAGTGCGACAACAGAAGTCGAGGCTATCAGCCCAGCTTCAGCAACCTAACAAACCAATTCACCGACTACACCAGTGACTCAACTTTCGATACCTCTTGGAAAGTCCCTGCGCATTAAGACGAAATCACGATGAACTGCCACAAAGAACCCGAGTTCCAAATCCGCGATATCCCTAGTCTTCGAGGTTACATCGCCATCGTCACAGGCGGTAAGTCATCAACTTGACACTTACACAACTCACCACTGACTATCCAGGTAATTCTGGTATTGGCTACGAAACAACTCTTCAACTCGCCCTCAAAGGCGCTAGAGTCTACATCGCCAGCCGCTCAAGCGATCGTGTCAACACGGCTATCTCTGAGATGCGCCGGAACAGCCCCGACTTAGACCTTCACTTCCTCAAGCTGGACCTCCAAGACCTTCAGAGCATCAAAAATACCGCTGCTGATTTCATGAGTCGCGAGAATCGCCTTGATCTGCTAATCAATAACGCTGGCGTAGGTGCAGCCCAAAATATTTCCAAGAGAAGCTAACGTGTTCCAGATCATGGCTAGTCCCTGGCAATTGACAAAGGACGGCTTTGAAGTCCAATGGCAGACCTGCTTCCTCTCCCATCACGCCCTCACCATGTCATTGATGCCTCTCCTCGTCGCCGCCGCTCAGACCAGTGGTCGCATGGACCGTGTGAGAATCGTCAATGTTGCCAGCGATATGGCCTTCAGAATGGGACCAGAGACCATCAATTATCAGGACCCTAATCTTACCGATGCCACTGGACAACTGGCGCCATGGTAAGCATTTCAACCCAGAACAGGCTTCAATCGAGCTTACTAACCTATATCAGGAGGAGATACGGCCACTGCAAGCAAGCCAGCATCATTGCGGCGAAGGCGATTACAGAACGCTACCAACCTCTCGGCGTGACAGCCTATTCCCTTCACCCAGGTCTCATCAAGTCCGGTCTGCAGTCTCACTCGAACAACATCTTCGGAGCCATGACACGTGTAGCTATGAAAGTTGGCCCAACGTCTACGCCACTCGAAGGATCAATGAACTCGCTCTTCTGCGCTACAACTTCGAAAGCCTACGAGCACGCTGGAAGATATTACGTTCCGGTTCAGAAGCTGGATGACAGGGCTAATAAGTGGCTGGACGATCCTCAGGCTGTTGGCAGGCTTTGGGACTTGGCGAGCAAACAGCTGAAGGAGCATGGGTTCGTCTTTGCGGACCTGCCTCGATATTATGCATGATTTAGTTGATGGATGTGGGGCCACAATGGCAGCGCCTGATAGATATATGGGTTTATAGGAAGAGATGTATGACAGCGATCACTATTTGACGTGGTACCTTTTGCATTTCTCTTTTTTGTCTTTTTTACTAAGCCTCCAGTATGTCTAGTTACAATTCTTACTAGAAAATATGAAATCTGGCGACAGAATCGGTGAAAAGCATTTACTATTTCTCTCAATTGAGTACTTGCAAGAGGTAATGATCTCGCGTTACTAACAATTTGTCTCTGCTCATCGTCAAATGGCCATAATCTAATGCAAGGATCAAAGTTCTTTAACGAAATACGGTTTCGTGGTCTAACGGTTATGACTGCGGATTCTGATTCCGCCAGCGAGGGTTCGACTCCCTCCGAGACCTTTCTTTTGCACTTTCACTTTACATTACACGTGCTTACTTCTGTTTAACAACACCCTTGTGCAGGTAATTCTGTTCGTTTCCTTCCTTTTTTTCTCCCTGGCTCTTGATGCGGGATTTAACTTTTTAACCTCTTATTTGAGTTGGTCGAATCAATCCTCTCTGATGCAAGAACAACCTTTGACCTCAGAATATCGATGATTCTTACAAAGATATGTCGTGTTGTCATCCATTATCTGTGTCCACAGCCTAAAGCTTAACCTCGTGGGCTGCACCCAAACCACAGTGTTCTTACACTTTGTTATGAAGTGATACTTTCGCGAATCCGTCATGCTGCCACTTTCGGGCCTTCTTGCTAAGCCTTCTTATTGCCATATGGTGCCTTTCAGAGCCGCGCCATGCCTTCCAGTCTGGTCTTTACTACTTTTGCCCCAGCTATAAAACCACGGTTAATCCTGACATATATGCTGTATTACAAAAGTCACCTCCAAACCTATTCCCCCACTATGAAGTTCAGTCTTCTCGTTTTCACAGGCATGGCCTTGGCTGGCGCCATCTTCTCTAGTGGGTTTCCCAGATCATCTCTTCTGCTGATATGAGGCATGATGGATTGGTACAAAGAAGACTGCAACACAGCTAACCAGTCACTTCTACATGTACAGGGGCTCGCACTTCAGATAAGGGCATCAAAGCTGCTGAAACAAGTGACAGCGCCATGCCGAAAGAAACACGCACAGGAGCTGGCAATTCAGATGCCGGCATCGAAGGTGCTGAAACAGATGAAGGCGCCGTCCCGGAAGAATTTCTCGAAGCCCAGAAGGATTGGGAGTCGAGTGAATGGGTGGAACAGCAGAAAAAGATCTTTGTACCCCCACCCAATGGGGACTTGCCCAGCCTGTTCAAATACCTAATCGGGAAAGAAAAGGAAAGATTAGCAAAGCAGACAGAGAACTTGGTACTCCCAGACAAACCGAACCTCAAGGCCCTGTTCAAGTACTTAGCCACGAAAAAGGCTCAGGAATACCTTGAAAAGGAAGGCCATTTGAATGCGGATGGGCCTTTTTACACTTATAAGAAGAATAGTACTCAGAAGGGATCTGATGCTTTTAATTGAAATTCACTGCAGGGAAGCTGGAGGTTCAGGTAGCTCCAACTGAGACCTGGACCGGAGGAGGAGTATCGACGTGGAACTGACTTAGAGCCAACCGAGCATGTCAACCAATGTTCTCCAATACAGTCAAAACTAATACTACTAATATCTTGGACTCGTTGTACAAGCTGATCTGTTAACCCCGATCTGCGAAGACGTATTTCGTATCGCCGTAATAGACATGGCCTGTGATCATTTCTGGCCATCACTTGAGATGGCCCTGGACACCTTTTGCTTTAAGCCTCCTCTTGGTTGGACTCTTACATGACGGATTTATCGGCTGGCTGTCCTGCTTATGGACGATGAGTGATGCGTTTTGGACGAACTGGTGCCCCTGGTCAAGCCGGAAATTCCTGATTCGACAAGCCAGCGACTGCCTACGATTCATAACTTAACCGAAAATCCACATGCACTATTGGAAGCCCGTGGTACTACAAGCTCCGACCGAAGAGATACTTAAGTCCGATCATGAGTAACGCCGCCTCAGAGTTTGTCCATATAAGCGCCCGACGATCACGTAAAGCTTTGAAGGCGAGCCTTTCTGTAAGTCCATAAGTCATCACGTCTCTCATACCCAAGAACATCATGCCCCAAGCTTTTGGCTGCCGAGATAACGTTCACGACGACAGCAATCCCGCCATGCCTCTGCAACAAACCTTCCAGCGTCATGAGATCCAGTCAGCTCGCAAAGCGGTAGCCGAAACCATTCTCGACAGACACAGCACTCGTGCATTTTGCACCGGTCAAGAAGTTCCGATGTCTGTTATCGAGGATTGCTTCAGTGTCGCCCAGCATGCCCCGTCTTCGACCAACATCCAGCCTTGGAGAGTGACCGTCGCATCTGGTGAGCCATTGAAGCGATTGTCTGCTGCACTCATTACGGCATTTAAGAATAAAGAGGAGCTCAAGATAGATGACATTCCCGAGTCGTATAACCACTATCGCTCGGAACTGGGCCATCACGTCGATGGACCAAATGGATACAACATTGCCCGCGGAGATACAGAGGCGATGACCAAAACTCTCATTGACAACTTTAACTTCTACAACGCGCCAGTAGTCGCTATTTTTTCGATTGATAAGGCCTTGAACAAAGGCGACGTTCTATCAGTGGGTATCTATCTGCAGACACTTCTTTTACTATTGACGGAGAAGGGATTGGGCACGCAAGTGTCTGCTGCGCCAACAGGATACCCAGACATCATCAAGAGGGAGCTGGGCATTGATGGGAACTTGGATATTCTTTGCACGGTTGGGATTGGATTTGAGAATAAGTCGCAGCATATTAATTCGCTGAAGATGCCAAGAGATGACTGGAAGCAGAGTGTCAAATTTGTCATGGAATAGCGGCGTCGTGTAGCGTTGGGTTAGTGGTGTTGTGCTTGTTTCTTAGCGCTTTCAGCAGTAAATGGGTTTAAGACTAGTTAACCGCTGTTTAGTGTTCGTCAAGACCTCGTTTTCCTGATATAACGATTGTTTGAACTCCCAGGAAATTTAACTTGACGAATTGATCTCGCTCTCGGTGCTGATCATTTCGATTCGAGACAAAAGATCTTGGCACTGACCGGAGTGTTGACATAAAGGTCTCTAGTGCTGACGTCAGAAACATTTGGTGTTTTGACGATGATCATAGCCACGGAGAGCGAAACACACGACAGCCCCCGCATCTTCGCCCTCACTCAGCCGGAGACGGAGCTAGCTTTGCAGGTTACTCGATTTCACGATGGACAATTCGTGCGAGATCCCTCAAGGGAAGGAGATTTCCAGCACCCAAGTCAATGATGACTTACCGACTGCAGAGGCACTTAAGATCGCTAATGGAATTGAGATCCTCGATGGTAAGGGAGAGAAGCATACCTTCAAGAGCATCTACAGCGGAGCTGGACTACCCCGTCGAGTTCTCGTTGTCTTTGTTCGCCATTTCTTTTGTTGTGTATGGCCCCTACCCATGGACTAAACCCAGCTAACACTCTCAGTCATGTGTGAGCTACACAAGCTTTCTTGCCAAGAACGCGACCCCAGAAAGGCTACAAGAGATAAACACCGAGATCGTGATAATAGGCCACGGAGATCCTAGAACAGTTGACATGTACCGCAAAGACACGGGCTGCGAATTTCCCATCTACACTGATCCATCTGAAGAGCTTTACAAAACACTCGGCATGATTCGGACATGGGAAGAAGGACCTCCGAACAAGTACATTCCCATCTCACCTTTTTGGAATGCGTGGTTGTCCATGAAGAATGCGTTTTGGAAGTTGGTGGAGGGATATCCTGTATGGAATTGGGGAACCACGAATCAGCAGGGCGGAGAGTTCTTGTTTGTTGGGGAAGGCGATGATAAGAAGGTGACTTGGTGTCATCGGATGAGGAATTCGCGAGATCATACGGACACTGATGAGATTTTGGAGGTATTGGGGCTCAGCAAGTGAGGATGAGTCGACGATACTCGAATGTTGAGCAAGGGTTGTTGCTTGGTGAACAGGAGAGGGCACGAGATGCCAATCATGGTCGAGAATTTTGAAGCAGGAGCGGTTGTATTGTCTTTGAATGAAGCTATAAGCTCTTCCGTCGCCTTGGAGAACTGGAAGCTGTATGAATACAAAACATGAATGCTGAATGGTGATTCCTGTTGGGTATTCTTAACGGCATATCGCCTTTACCGGGGCGTTGAGCCGCTGAAGCGTTGGAAATAAGATCTTGTCGTTTCATTATATATACAGGCATTTAATTATTACTTTTGAGAGAATCTATGTAAACTTCGTTGACAAAAAATGTTTAACTCGAAGTCATCGGCTCCGGGTCGCATATTCTCTTGTAACAAGCTTTCTAAGCGGCACCAAACGACAATTAACGTCGCAGAAAATTGCCTCGGACAGGTTTTCATTATCGAAGATCAGGTAGTATCGGCTTACATCCGGAAAATACATTCGGACTTAAGGGACGCTGATGCCATTGGTAATACGGCAAAGGCCGAGTACGCTTGAGGGATGCGGTGGGGGCTAAAGATGACATTTAAATGCTGACCGACGTCTCCCAACCGTTTACATCGGTAAGCATCTCACCTAGGTTGGTCTGCAGTCATGGAGTTTATTGCTGCAGGTGTATCCTGGGCGCTGGGGAGGGCACCTTCGCCACAGAAGATTCTGGGACGTCTTGGTCTCGCATCGCTTGTCGCGCAGACTTCATGGCCTGAATTATCGTCAAAGCTCTCACCTCAAGCGTCAATCGTCTTGCCCGATGACTCGTCATTTGGTGGTCTTGTTAGTAGATGGCGGGATTGGCATGGACCGCAACCTGGAGCTATTGTGAGAACCTTTTCCGAGACCGACGTGCAAGAAACTGTAAGGGTGATGATGGCTCGAGACGAGAGTACCGCTGACATGTTAAAGATAAGATATGCCAATGAACATGGCATTCAGTTCCTTGCTAGATCTGGTGGCCATGGAGCAACTGAAGCACTGCAGCTGGCCAAGGATATTATTATCGTGGACTTGCGAGACCAAAATGATGTCGAAATTGCGGAGGATGGAAAGTCTGCAAGGATTGGTGGAGGCACGAGTGTGAAGAAGGTTGTAAATGAGCTTTGGGCAGCTGGAAAACAAACAGGCAACTCAAACACCATAGGCTCAGGTCCCCTTGCTAATATGATCTTTAGTCACGGGTATCTGTGAGTGCGTTGGTGTCTCAGCTCCCGTCCTTGGTGGCGGCCATGGTTGGTTACAAGGACAATACGGCCTCGCATCAGACCAAGTCATTTCTGCTCGAGTTGTGCTCCCCAACGGAGACGCAGTGACTGCTTCTGAGGACTCAAACCCTGATTTGTTCTGGGCTCTTCGCGGAGCAGGACATAACTTTGGCGTTGTGACCGAATGGGAATACCGAATCTACGATATTAACAACCCGAAATGGTCTTATGAGATCTTTATCTTCCATGGAGATAGATTGGAAGATGTTTTGGAGTTGACGAATAAGATGATGAAGACCCAGCCGCCGCATTTGACGCACTGGATTTATATCGTCAACATTCCTGAGATTGATCCTGACAAGGTGAGTATCCTTTCTCCGAATACAAGCTTGGTTAACAACGTATAGCCAATTATCTGGTACGCTGTCATCTCAGATCGCGCTGCCCAAGAAGCTCGGGACTACGCGAAACCGCTACACGACATCGGTTCCATCAACGTCAACGCGGGCGAAGCTTCAATGCCTGAGTCGGCCGCCATCACGCTTATGAGCGACGATAGCGTAGGATGCGCAAAGGGCTTTACCGGTCTGCGATATCCAATTGGCCTCAAGACTTACAATCTCCTCGCCGTTCGAAAAGTCTTTAACGAGATCGCCGACATCTCGAAGCGTGTTCCCGAGTTCGCTGGCTCCTTCTTTCTTCTTGAAGGATATTCCACCCACGGTGTGAAGGCTGTTGATGCAAAGAACTCTGCATTCCCCCACCGCGATGATGAGATTCTTGTGACCCCCTACGTTCTTTACAAGCCCAACGCGACGCTCGACGGGCTTGCGCAGGAGCATGGTGAGAAATTGAGGGGGCATTTGCTCGAGGCCAGTGGAGACCCCGAGCATTTACGAGCATACGTTAACTACGCTCACGGCTTCGAGTCTCTAGAGGAAATATACGGCCACGAACCCTGGAAAATCGAGAAGCTCAAGGCCCTCAAAAAGAAGTGGGATCCCGAGAACAGGATGAGATTTTACGCGCCAATCGTCTAGTCTAAGCAAGGCATTCTCAGCCCTAAAGGCCCAGAGTCAGCCCTACGCTGAAACCCTGGCGAATCTCACCCGGTCTCACTGAATGGAACAGCGGGACCGCGTATTACAGGACAATACCACACGCAGATCAATAGCCAAGACTACAAGATAGAGAATCACAAGCTCTTGTGCATGACAATCATGGTCGAAAAGAGTAGCCAGTTCGTCAGGCATTCACGTGACGTAAGCATCCGCGTGTCCTCGACTCTACAGACGAGACGCTAAGCAATCTAAGCTTAAATTATTATCTCGATGTGATTCTCATTTTCTGATTCTCTATAAACTAATTCCTAAACCCTTAGACCCAAGTGCTTGGTCCTTACAGTAGACGTGAAGATGCAACAACAGCCTCTTCGAGGAACCTTATCGTGCAGTTCCTGTCGACAACGAAAGTACGCCGCCTTTCCTTGGCACTGATGACGATGCTGACGAGATACGCAGACTGAAATGTGATCGCGATGAGCCATGTAGCAATTGCGTTGCGAGAAATGTCTCGTGTCAATATGCGCCCTGGCCACGAGGTCGTGTTGCTGCTCAGAGAAGAGATAGTAGACAGAATGATCTGAGTGATCGCGTGCGCCATCTTGAACAACTGCTTGGTTCTATTGTTCAACAGCTTCCAGCTCAACAGGGGACATCCAATGGATCACCCGGTATCAAGAGCCCGGCTAGCACTTATGTCACAACATCTCATGTTACAGGCTCTCACCATGGGTCTCATCACTCCTCTCAGGAAGGCTCTGAGGTCAAGCCTGGTAGGATGATGGCGAACCCAAACGAGACGATCTATGTTTCTAGCAGTCACTGGTCTGCTATTTGCCACGAGGTAGGAAAATGAATTGGTGACCAGAACGTTTCTGACTTGAACATAAACCAGGTGGAGCATATTCGCGAGCATCTGGACGAAAGCCACGAAGCGAGTGACTTGGGCATTGTCGATCAAGCTCAAAGCCAAGTACCCCTTCTTCTGGGTCCTGGAAGATTAGCTGCGAGCCTTGAAGACATCCTTGCGGATGTCCCTCCGAAGCACATCACGGATAGACTTGTATCGCGTTATTTCACCTCGACTCAGCCATCAATCTGTACGGTCAACTCCTGATCTCTAGTACTGTCACTGACGTTTCAAAGTGATCACCCATTCAGGAGAGTTTGAAGGCGAGGTAAGTCTCGTTTCCTACTAAATCTTCATTGCACTCATTTTCGTGTAGTACAAACGCTTCTGGAATGACCCCAACTCCGTGTCTGTTCAGTGGGTTGGGATGCTGTTCGGTATTCTGGCCACTGGAACATTTCTGTACATCCGATCACAGGATAGGCTTCCCGGAGAAATGGGTTCACCCCTTGAGGTCGCAGAGTCTTTTCAGCAAAGATGTACCGACTGTCTGATTCTCTCCAAGTACTCCACAGCGCCTGGTAAGTATACTCTGGAGACTCTCCTGTTCAATATCCATGGTGAGTTCGTGCGCCGTCGAGACGCTCATCTCGGCGTGTGGATCCTTACCGGTATCGCTATTCGTTTGGCGATGCGAATGGGATACCATCGTGACCCTGATAACTACCCGCGGATTTCGCCCTTCCATGGCGAGATGAGGCGTCGCGTATGGGGTGTTCTCCAGCAACTTGACATTCTGACCTCTTGCCAACTGGGCCTGCCCTCGCTTATCCAGGAGTCACAATGCGATACCCGTCTGCCACGAAACATAAATGATGAAGACTTTGGCCCTGAGTGCACGCAGCTTCCTCCACCAAGGCCTGAGACGGAAGGTACTGGCGTTCTGTACACCCGTGTCAAAGTCAAGATGATGACCATCTTCCGAACAATCTTTAACCAGGTCTCACTTGGCAAGACGGAAGACTACAGCGAGATCATGGATCTCGACCAGAAGCTTCACCAGATGCACCAGTCCATGCCCACCTGTTATAAGATAGCCAAGCTGGAATATTGCTTCATGGTCCCGCCCTATCTACTCATTCGGCGGTATAACCTTGAACTTCTCTTCCAAAAGGCGAGGTGTACACTGCATCGCCATCACATGACAAAGGCATACCATGACCCCAAGTATAACTACTCCAGGGCGGCTTGCGTTGACTCAGCGATGACTGTGCTAGGTCACCAAGCTAGCATCCTGAAGGAGGTTCAAGTTGGTGGGCTCTTATACAACGATAGATGGTTTCTCACCTCTCTCGAGAGACATGACTTCTCGTTGGCATCCATGGTCGTCTGCGTGGAGCTTGGCATGCCACCTGAACAGCAGAACCCAGAGCTCGTGGGGTATACTCGGGAGGCTATGATCGAAGCACTTAAAACCTCGCAGGCATTTTGGGCAGCTATCAAGGCCGTCTCTGCCGAGGCAAAGCAAGCATACGACATGCTCACGGTGATGTTGAAAGCTGTCACTGGTTCCAAGAGTGAGTCAATGCCGCCAGCTGTAAACCAAGAAAAAGCCCCAGCTCACAATGGCAACGGCAACGGTAAGACTGGTGCTCGAAACCATGCGACTTGTAGACTGATAAATACAGGACACATAAACGGACAAAACAACATGAGCGAGACTCCTTTCTCGACTGAGTTTCAGGGCATCGAGGCTATGTTGAGCGGTTCAGATGGCGTAGACTGGGTATATTCCTCTGCAGCGAGACGGCGTTTCGAGCTGACATGTTTGACTTTCTAGGATATGTGGGAATCACTGGTTCACATGCCCGAAGACTTCTCCCAATATGAGATGCCAGAAGAGCTCTGAAAAGCATGTGTGACTAATTTTGTCCCCTGGTCAATAGAGCGAGTGGTGTTGCTGTTGTTGCTGACAGATGGCGCAGCGTGATAGCGGGGTTTGGTGTAGCCTAAATAAAATTTCTCATGCATCTGCGACCTTCACTCTATCAATCTTGGTCCCATTCTCAACATATACTCAAACGGTTAATACTTCTACCAAAAGTTCTAAAGCCGTCAACATGCCTGCTCAATTAGTCATCTTCGACTTTGACGGGACTCTTTTCGATACCCATCAGGCCATCTCTCACAGCATCAAGCTCACCTTCGACTTACTCCTCCCAGCCTCAGCCCCAGCAGAGTCCGAGGTGCAGAAGTTGATCGGTTCTGGCTTGGGGCTCAGGGAAGTCCTCCAAGCGCTACACACATCTCCCGATTCTTTCGATGAGGGTGAATGGACGTCAACGTACCGTCGCTTCTACAACGATGAGGGACAGAAACTTGTATCAGCATTTCCTGGCGCCAAGGCACTTCTGAACAGGTTGCATGAAAGAAAAGTTCCAGTCGCTATTGTCAGTAACAAAGGTGTAGCCGCAGTCGAGACCGCCCTCGAGAACAACGGCATTGATACCATTCCCGGAGACTTAATTTGTCCGGAGCTAGGGTTTAATGGCTGGAAGAGCCCAGCACCTCTGCTGGGTCCGGTGCGCTCTCGACGTCCCTTGAAAATCCACGGGAAGGAATAATTCTCACGCCAGGTCGTACTCATAACCGCAGCAGGTCTCCAAGGTGAACAGCCTTCTCCGGCGCAACGCGAAAGCCTGACACTGGAAGCTTCGAGAAAGTTTTACTGCCAGCCCTGAAATCTCGTGGATTCGCAAGCCTTGACGCGTCAAAAACCTTAGTCGTTGGGGACACGGAGGCAGATGTCAAATTTGCTGCTAACATTGGAGCAAAGTCTGCTTGGTGCAGATATGGATATGGGGAACGGAGCGCATGCGAGACGTTGGAGCCACATTTTACGGTCGATTCGTTAGATGAGGTAGCTGGAATTGTTGACAAGATGTGATTGATCAGGACTTCAATAGTTCGGCAGCAAGATTTCATGAGAGGGGAAAACGTTCTAAATTCGTGGGCTGCGCGGGTCACCAGATGTAACTCCCACTTAGAGTTCGTTATCGATCTTGAAGTCGTGAACTGATGACCAATCGAGTACTCAAAGCTTACGTAGTGGCTTGGGCCATCACGTGTGTAATTTGCCGTTCAGGCCTCTTATCGAGAGTTGATAGCAGCCACGCAGAGCCTAGGTAGCTCAGGATCCATAGAAGAAAGCTAGGTATCTGGGCTGGAACTTTCTTTTACCAGAAAGGCCAAGCCAGTATCTCCAGATGTCAATTATGGAAATCTATCTCCGGTCTCATGCTCCGGTCGATTTCATTGCTCATGATGCAAGTCACGTTCAAGCGATCTACAGGGCAGCCCTGCGCAAGCATCTTCGTCCAAAGGGTAAGATGAACAGCGATCAAAGGGTTCAATAAAGCAAGTCATGTGCTCATATTTCTTTGCGGCATTGACTCTCATAACGACGTGCCATAGAATTTTCGCCGACACGTCTGTTAGAAGAGGTTTGAATGTGAACGCGTACGATATGGCAACGAGATATACCAAGGAGACTTGATCAACATTAATCTAGACATACTGCTACATAATGGAATTCAAGAAATACCATCCAGGTGCTCTTAATTATGAGTGAATGAATGGAGTTGTTGTTAGCTGTTAGCGCGTAAGCTAGGGTGCTCTACCTTGATTCAAAGCCTCTTCTCATGGCATCGTATGTATTCTGATGAATTTATAAACTATCGACCAAGCTATTGACCACGAACTTGGCATGAGACCTTCGCAAAATGTACATCACTAAGCTTTGAGGCTGATAATCATCGCCAGCCATTCAACTCTAGCCCCTCCACAGGACATTCGGATACCTACTTCGAACTCTGCTGTAGCTATATAACATCCAGGTCTTCCCCTCCCCTCCCTTCTATGCTTTCCTTCTCCTAACAACAAAATATCACATCATGACTTCAAACTCTAACTCACTACTGCCAAAATGTTCTTCTTCACTATTATACTTTGCCTTCTCGCCACTACTGCCTCTGCCTGGGACGCCCCCGAGATTCCAGGGTTCCGGACAATATGGTACGACAACTTCGACGGAGCTACTGGCTCTCTACCAGACACTTCGAAATGGAACATTCAACATTGGTACCAGGATCTAAACGGCGATCATCAGGAGTACAGGGCTTCCCCTACAAACGTCTATCACAAAGATGGCAGCCTTCATATCGACCCGTGGCGCGACCCCACTGCTGCAAAAGGTTGGGCATCTGGTCGTATCGAGAGCACGTACACCTTCACCCCTGCGCCCGGCGTCAAGACCATTGTTCAAGCCAGCATCTCTCTTGGTTATACGCCCATTGGAAGTAAGGCTGGTATCTGGCCTGCCTTTTGGTTGCTCGGTGACAGCCACCGCACCGGCGGTCCAATATGGCCTGCCTGTGGTGAGCTCGACATTCTGGAGCACGTGAATGACGATCATGAGACTTATGCCGCTGTCCATTGTGACAAGTCTCCTGGTGGTATCTGCGGAGAGAAGAAGGGTATTGCTGGGAGTCACTATCTACCGGATATGGGCATGGGCATAAACACTTACAAAGTTGTCATCGACCGCACACCGACGGTGTGGCAGGAGGAGAGTGTAAACTTCTACGCCGCAGATGAACTTTTTCATACGGTCACGGGGGCGCAAATCGGCAACCTGGAGGTCTGGAAGACCATTGCGTGGAACAAGATGTTCATCATTTTCAACGTCGCTGTTGGCGGTGATTGGGCAAGTTGAAACTCTCTCTGTGAACCTGCCAAGCTAATATTTTGTAGCCGGGACCTCCAATGCCTTTTACTGCAGAGGGCCCTGACGCTGGTATGGAAGTCGGATATGTTGCGCATTATGAGCAAGAGGCTGCAGCAGAGGATACAGCCAATACGCCTTATTACTATCCTTATGATAATTACCATAACTATAATATGCCTTGTTGTTCAAAGATGACTCAAACCATCAACAATGAGGCGCCTCCAGCTCCAGCTCCTCCGCGTCCGCCTTCAGCTCCTCCGCGTCCGCCTTCAGCTCCTCCGCGTCCGCCTCCAGCTCCAGCTCCTCCACGCCCGCCCCCAGCTCCAGCTCCTCCTCCACCACCAGCTCCTCCTCCGCCGCCTCCGCCAGCCGCCTGTCATCCTTGCAATAGCTATAACTATCCCAATATCCCTCAGGCCCCGCCGCCTCCACCTCCACCTCCCCCTCCTGTTGCCGCGCCTCCTCGGCCACCTATGCCGCCACCACCTTTGCCAGTTGTCGGTGCACCTCCTCCACCTCATGCTGGCAGGCCTCTACCTGCGCCTGCCGCTGGCGCGTTCTCTCATAACTATCCCCATAACCCTCAAGTCCCATCGCCTCCACATCAACCTTACTACAACTATCCCAATCTCCCTCCAGGCCGGCCGCACTATTAAGAAGGGATAAACACAGCTCTTGTGGTTTAAATCCCAATGCTGTGCTCATGCGACTGACTGACCTCTTCACGTCTGCAAATCGACCTCATATTCGAAGCTGTGTACACTAGTAGCGGCTAGGTGTATGTTTGAACAGTCAAGTGTCGTCTACCTTCGGCCGTGGAGTACTGGACACGTAGGGGCGCGAGTAACAACGGAATGCCCCTTAAAGGGAACTTGGGCGTTTACCCATATCTACTGGCTCAAAACCAGTCATTATTCAACCTGGAAACGATCTTACTCGCAAAGGTTTATAATGCATACTATCAGTCTTGTGCACTAGGTTGTTACTCTTGACATGGCTTGCTGCTCCGTGATTCGGGGTGATCCATCTACCGAGACAGCTCGCGAGGGCTTCCCATCCACTGGCCAACCCGAGATATGGCGATATAAGGATGGAGGAACGGCAGATATGATAATTTTATCCCTAAGCTAGAAACAAAACTTGACGACGTATTTTTCGGACTACCATTTCATTAAGCCGATCTTAGGGGAATCTCAATCATGTCCAAGAACAATGCCTCCCCCCGAGACTTCGAACACGTACAACGCTTGCAGTAAGTCAAGGCATCTTAAATGTTCGTGTTCAATTGAGTGAGCAGTGCCATATGTTCTATGAAAGAAATGGTCAGTGTCAAAACGCTCCCCAAGACTTTCGTCTCCTCCAATACATAACGTACTTTTGATCCATTAACATGTATCTGCACTGCCAACAGCTGGCAGCCTTGACTGACCTTCGAGAGGCCAGTGTCATAGGGGCTAATTTCATCCGTTTGAAATCAAACAATGGGCCTGTTCAAACGACTTCTCGCCCATAACCAATGTCGTACGCTCGTCTCTATCAGTAGCATCAGAGCCTTCATCCACCTTCCCTTCTCAACTGAGGTACACCATTCTATCAGAAACTCATCTCTGAATTCTGATTCTTCTTCTTTCCCAACCCTCAGCAACTAAAGCTTTCTCATAATTGCAACACTACACCTTTCAAACCATAGTAAGTGAGACTCAATCACTCCTGACGCTTACTAAGTTCAACGCTGACAACAGACTTTCAGACTCAGAACCCAAATCACACAATGCTTCGATTCTTCTCCTCCAAGAAGACCGTCGACCCTAAGGGCCAGGCCTCCGAGGCTGTTAGCAAGGATGTCGAAGAGTCCGTTCGCGCTCTCGAGGATTTTGAGATTGAACTTGACCAGACCACCGAAGACTACGTCGAGATCATCGACCACGCCGCGCCCAAGCGTCCTCGTGCCGTTTGGAAGGACACAAAAGAAATCCGGAACCAGGGCTACATTGTCGTCGCGAAGGACACCGAAGTCCCGGCCTTCATGAAACTCCCCAACGGGAAGACTAAGTTCGGTGAGGATGTCGTCGTTGTCGAGGGATTTAAGGACCGCTCCGGAAATGTCAAGAAGTAGATTATGGGCAACGACTATTGTGATCAAGTTGGAGATTCGTGGACCTTTGGTTTTGTTGCTGTTCTTTGGGTCGTTGAATGAAGTATCAAGAAGAGAGTGGCATTGTAGGATAGCATACTGTGAGCCAACCTGTCTAGTCAGGTGTTCTTTTCAATAGCCTAATGAACCCACACTGCGCTTTGCGATAAATTACATAATTGCCTTCTTATTATATTGTTGATATTCTTCCATCCCATATCCCATACAAGGCCCTTGTTCAGTCGGTGCCTCGGGTCCCAACCAATCGCCGGTGAACCTCACAAGAGCGCTCTCGCCAGTGGCCTTCTTACTGATCAGAACTCACAGACTTTGCACTCGAACGGAAAACAGACATTTCACACGTCACCTGTTTGGAAGAGCAATCACAACTCTTTCATGTCCTACTCGAATGACGCGTCTGCGAAAGAACCTTGGTAGCGATCCATTCGAGAAGGTTGCCAGCCCATAAGCATGCCTCGGGGAGCACAAAAACACCGGACCTTGATACAGGGTGTTAAAATAAACTTAGAAAAGAGCCCCCTAAACTTAGGCTAGATTTACCTAAATATTTTTATCGCTTAGGGACCTAAATATTTTTCGCTTAGGGTCAAGGTCCTGTGTTTTCTTGCCTCCCCTAGGCATGTCCCCCAGCATCGAAAGGATTCCCTAAAGCGTTCTGGGCGAAGGATCAACTGTGTAGTGGCTATGCCACATTGGGTGGTACCACGCCACTGAGGTGCATAAGGCATTCAGTAGGGCGTTTTCCCACGATTGGCCGTTGTTAGTGGCATCAACAAATGCTGAAGTGTGATGATCTCTACGTCCTTGGCGAAGTCCGATATCCAATACACACCGCATTTAGCGTATCAGACCAACGTGAAATGACTGGTCTGAGAGAGGTCAACATCCAAGGACCATGCTGTAGGGCTGTTCGTTTGGATGCTACGCCGCGCCATGCATCCATGTCCAAGCCCCTGTCAATCATCGTCATCAACTCACGACAAGCTCGGCCGAATATCACACATCGAGTATAACATCTGACCGCCAAGCATTGGCTACCTCTCCGCATTATAAATCACCAGACCGATCCCAAATCTGTCAGCCATCAATACAGAGATCAACAGCGAGAACTCATCACCATGACTGCAACATCCAGCATCGATCTCATCAACCTATGTAGGTCCATCTCGAAGCGCGCAGTATCTTGTGCAGCCGCCGCAGAGAATATAGCTGGATTGGACAGGGAATTCTTGAAGGCACATGAATACTGTCTTGTTGTTTACAATTACATGCTCGAAGTTTGCAACCCCCTCGTCAGGTACGTTGCTCTTCTCACATATTGACTTACTATCTGACACTCGGCTAGGAACAATGATTCTTTTGGACCATCAGGCTCGAGCTTTTTCACCCATCAAGCTCAAGAAGCAGTAAAGTCGGCTATGAACAAAAGACTTGTCAAATCAGAGAAAGGCACTGCCCGACAAGATATACTGCCCAGCTGCGAGAAGATCCCCGTCGCGGAGAAAGAAGTAGCACCGCCTTCGTATTCAAGGCCCGCATCAACGACTACAACTCCGCCCATAGCGTCACCGTCAACGCCTTCACCACTAGTTCAAAGCCCAGTCAACAATTGTCACCGCCCCAAAGGCTCTTCATTCTTCAGAGCCCTCACATCGGGCTTCCGCAAACATGATCCATTGGTCTCAACGCTCTGTCAAGCCGCCGCTCGCGGAGATGAGCAACAAGTCTCTGGCCTAATCTCCCAAGCCGCAAACGTCAACGGCCGAAACGAAGACGGGGATACACCACTCAAGTGCGCCATAAGATATGATCAAGTTGGAACCGCTTGTCTTCTTCTAAAAGCTGGAGCTCAAAGCAACAAGCTACCGCCCTTATTCAAGGCTGCTTCTGTCGGGAGTCTCAAGATCGCTAGGGTGCTTATTGATTCTGGGGACAGTGTACACGGCAAATCAAAAACTGGGAAGCCCTACTTTGTTGATGTTGTTGCTAAAGGTAATCTGGACGGTATCAAGTTCCTCCTTGAGAATGGCGCTCCAGTTAATGCAAGGAACGAGAGACGGGAGGAAGTTATTGTCCAGGTTGTCAAGACAGACAACATCGACATCACCCGTCTTCTTCTTGCCCACGGCGCTAATGCAAGTGCGAAGGATGCAATAGGCGAGGAGATTATTGTACACGCTGTCAAGAAGGGCAATGTTGAACTAGCCAATGTCCTCCTCGATCACGGCGCCGATCCCAATGCCGAAAGTGCAATCAAACAAACCATTCTCTACACAGCAGTTCAGAGCGGTAACGCTGACATGGTAGGGCTACTTCTCGACAAAGGCGCAAGTGCGAAGCTGTTGAATGTTCTTGGAACGAGTATCCTGGAAGCTGCTATTGGAATGAAGAGATTTCAGATCGTAAAGAAGCTGATCGAGGGGGGTGCCGATGTTGATGGCACAGATGCGCATCAGCAACCGATTCTCATCAAAGTTATCAAGAACCCGTTTCTGAATAACGACGAAAAGGTTGAGGTCATGAAGATGCTCATGGCGAATGGTGCCAGTCCTGAAGCGGTTGATATAACATTCGGGCTGCCAGCTATTTGTCACGCTGGCGAAATGCCCAGTACCCCAGTGGTGCAAGCCCTTCTGAGCCGAGCCGTCAACACCAAGGTTCGCATGCTCTCGGGTCAAACTCTGCTGACATACTCCATCGACGTCAACCGCTAGAACACTGTTGAAGCGCTGCTAGCACAAGGTGTGGATGTCAATGAGGTCGATGGGCTCAACAGAACGCCACTGAAACTGGCTCTGATGAGACTTGACTACAACTTGACGGCGAAGTTGGTGGATTACGGTGCTGATCCTACAGCCAAAGAGAATCAAGAAGCTGTCAAGTTCGTCAAAGCTGTTGGGAGAAAGGATCTTCAGGAACTTCTTCGACCAAGGGAAATTGAGGCAGGTCCCTCAACTCCAGCTGTTCGACATGAGGTCGAGTTGCCTACATCTGAGGCACCACCGCCTTCGTACGAGCTTGTGGCGGGCAAGGTCTGAATTGTCAAGGCGCTTGGTATTTCACTCATGAAACATGAATCTATTCAACAATTATACTAAAAGCCTTTATCTCAATGAACGTCAAGTATATGTGTCGTCTCAATGACGCAAGAAGTAAGCGGGCATGATGACATAACACAGCTCAAGATCGAGGCCAAAACTCCAACACCGATGGCCTTAGGTTGTTAGTCGCATATTACCCCTCAAACGACGTCCTTAGGTTGATAGTCTTGATTAGAAATCGAGTACCAGACTTTTCCTATTTATTGCTCCTAATTATCCCTCAATTCGCTTTCTTCTTTTTCAAACTGCTCAATTCATTCACCCTGATTGACTCCCAATTCTTTCTTCCTTTCCCAATATGAGTTCTAGCGACATTGCCGCAAATGGATGGACTGCTGTCCCAGTTGATGCCGGAAAGATCTTCAGCAATGGACCTTATATCAATGAACCTGAGTACATTGACCTTCAGAGCATTCAATTCCCAGGCGATGACCCAATTGTCAAGAAGACACAGCAACATGCCAAAGATAGGTTATTGAAGCAAACTTACAACCATTCCATGAGGGTTTACTACTGGTGTAAGTCAATGACAGCCTAGACTGAATTGAGCTGCATGTATTAATGAGTCATTTCACCAGCTACTGTCATTCTTCAACAGCAATTCCCGGAGCATGCAGACATTCTTTCCCCTTCGACCCTGGCACTTACTTGCCTGCTCCACGACATCGGCACCACTGACGAGAATATGTCTTCGACCCGTCTCTCTTTCGAGTTTCAAGGCGGCATCCAAGCTCTCAACCTTCTTCAAGAAACCGGCTCTTCCAAAGACCAAGCCGAAGCCGTTTGCGAGACTATAATCCGTCATCAAGACCTTGGCACCGAAGGAAATATCACTTTTCTCGGGCAGCTCATTCAGCTGGCTACCATCTACGATAATGTTGGCGAGCATCCAAATGTCAAGGACTTTGGAAGGATCATCCATGAGAAGACGCGCGAGGAAGTCAATAACGTTTTCCCACGTGAGGGATGGCTGGGATGCTTTGCGGCTACGATTCGAAAGGAAGAGGAGTTGAAGCCGTGGTGCCATACTACTCACATTCCCAAGTTTGCGGAGCTGGTTGAAGGTAATCAGCTGCAGAAGCCATATGAGTGAGATTCGGGCGCCTACTACTATGGAATGGACCTTCACACTGTATCTTATAAATAGTCTATAGTTGAAGTTGACCGGGCTTTCATCTATATCTTTATATGAGACTCTTATCTCCTCAGAATTACCAACCATAATGTCTCTACGAACCCCGATCAGTATCCAGATACATCAGGCCACTCCGTCTCAACTCCCTCTCTGATTATCATATCCTGAAACTCTTTAAACAACTCCTTCTTGTCCTGCACTTCATGCGGTGATAGCTCCTTGCCCAAACAATGCGCTGCCAACAACCCTGCCGCCTCGCCAATGTTCCACTCGACGGGATGTAACCTGTAACATCCATTCGTAATATGCGTGGTCCCAATGTTCTTCGAGGCCGCGAGTAAGTTAGGTCTCTCAACTGGTATCAAAGCACCAAGTGGAATCTCGAATGGACAGCAGGCTACGTCGATGTAATTATCACCGCCGGTGGATGGATGGAGGTCGATGCGATACATTCCGACACCGACACTGTCTGGATAGTGAACTGCGCCTTTGGAACCGCGGATGCTGAGGGAGAGATCTTGCTCGACGATGGTGGTTACGGCTTTGATGCGTCGAGATTCGCGGATGTAAGGGGCCATTGCAAGACCGTGTTCCGTACCCGTTATATCACCTCTCAATCGAAGACCAGGATATCCTGTACCCTTTCCATCGGCTCGAGGACAGTCAGTCTGGAGGTAGTACAGCATACTGTACGACAGAGACGCAGCTTCGGCAAGACGCTCTTGTAGTTCATCCTCTGATACATCAATGATAGGCTTTTCGAAGTAGTCAATCATGGGCCAGTTGACAAGGCAGATATCTGAAGGATATGCTCCGGGGATGAAGTTGTCTTTCGCCGCAATGCGTCGAAATGTCCAGAGATTCATGTCTCCTCCTGACTTTCTCTGGTCGGACATCACGGAAGCTGGATCGTCGTTGGGGTTTGGTGTGAACTCTCGCTCGACTATCTCAAGGGTTCGGGGATGCGGTGCCTTGAGACCAAGTAGCGGCGCACCCCAGAAATCGGGGTGGCAGCTCCTCCAGTGATCGTATCTATCAGGTTTGGGAATTGTATGGTCTTCGCCCTCAATGTGATCCACGGCGAAACAAATTGATACAGCTTGAGAGTTTTGGGGCTGCGCTTCCTCCGGTGCGCTAGGCTCTCCTGTATCCTTTCGAGACTCAAATCCCGTCACATACGGTGTCTTGGTGATGGGTAGCAAGTCTCCCAGCTCAGTAGCATCAATGACGTACTTTGCATCAACGGTGAAAGTCCGTCCACCATCCAGTTTTCGAAACTCGACAGATCTCACAACCTGTCCAACCATGTCACAAGAAACAGCCTTGACACGTTTTCTAACAGTGAGGAGTCCACTGCCGATAAACGGCATGAGCATTGCCTCGATAACAGCCACTGCAACTCTCGGCTCATGGCAAAGCTTGCTGACATGGCCCGCCCCAGGATTCAACTGCGCCCTTCGTCTCGCCTCCTCTGTCAACGGATAATTATCGCGATAATACTGTCTTATCCCGTCACGAAGTGCTCGATAAGATCGTGTGACGCCGAATTGCTCAACCCAGGTATGTTCATCAGGAGGCACAGCTTGGCTTGTCAATTGGCCGCCTAGCCAGTCATATTCTTCGGTAAGAAAAACATGACGGCCTCGACGGAGAGCTCCGAGGGCTGCTGCGACACCGCCCAAGCCACCGCCTGCGATGAGAATATCTGTTGAAAAGTGCTTTGGTCGAGTTTTTAAATGAGCTGTCTGCCACGAGATGCTGCTTTTGACATGGCCATTGGGGGGTTCAGAAGGTTCGCCCATGTTTAGTGGTGGCTGGTAAGTTGACCAACAATCAACTCAGAAAATGACGGCCTCGGACTTGCAAAAGTAAATATCGAGCAAACATGGGAATCGACTTGTTTTAATTCGTCTCACAGAATCCTTCTCTCGCCGATCTCCCCAAACCTGCGTTTCACTTCCCCCATACCCGAGACTCCCCGTGAGGGGTCGCACAGCACGTGCATGTCCCATTCTCATGACCAACGCCGCCAAGATATTGTCCCCTCAACTCGTCGGGAAGCAGTCTCACATCTCCCCGATCCTTACACTGACTGTCAAACGCTACTTCACAATGTCGGAGGACAACGCACGCAAGCGACCGCGTCAACCCGCGTCCGATCCGCGATATCCCAGGAAGAGGAGTCTCAAGGCGTGTCATGTGTGCAGAGCGCGTAAGACAAAGTGCGATAATGTGCAGCCAACGTGTGGGTTCTGTGCGTCGTTGAATATCTCGTGTTCGTATGATAACACTGAGAAGGACCATTCTACGTAAGTTTATCACTGCTTGGAAGATATAGTCTGATGGGAGGCATAGATTTGACCCTGCAAGCCTCGAGATTTTGAGACAGTTGGGACAGATCATTACTTCGCAGGATGAATTGACCCAGACTGTGCGATCGATTGCGGAAGCTCAGTCGCATGCCGGTTTGGGTGCCGCTCAGAATGTTCATGTAGCGGAGGGTTTGAACTGGAATGCGAATCTTCAAACACAACAGCTGCCCTACTATGACTGGTCTGGAGGACAATCCGACTCCGACTCGACAACCCCAGCAGCATCGGCCAGTGTCGCTGCAGTTCGATGGTTCGGCATCCTTGCAAACGATGCATCGAATGAAGCCTTCGCAGACACTGATGCACCGTTGGGTCTTGACGGCGAGCTACTCGATACATCGCCAGATGGTCAAGCAGATAGCGACATCACGCCATTGCAGAAAGCAACAAGGATCATCGATACTCAACCACCGACCCGGGATACAGTCAACAATCATGCAGCGAATAGTTCCGAAGAAAGCTTATGGCAGGCTTCAGAGAGCATATCACTCCTCGATCGAGAACAGAGCTTGTTTCAGAACTTCCTGCATCGCATATGTTCATGGGTACGTCGATCACACTCTGTACGAACATGCATACTCATATCTTATCAGCTTGACTTGTTCGACCCAGCTCGGACATTTTCTACCCGAGTTCCCCATCTAGCAGTCCGCAACGCAGGTCTTCTCAATGCCATCCTCGCTTTATCATGCTACCACCAATCCCTCGACGAAGCCATCCCTCTCAATCAACGTCCGTCTCAAAACACTGCCCTACAGTACTACTACCAAACATTGCACTACGTTCAGAAAGCTATGCGTTATTCGACGTATCAGAATAGTCAGGAGCTCATGGCTACGACGCTTATGGTCTCAACGTATGAGATGCTACGAGGGTCGCGTAAAGATTGGCAACAGCACCTTCAAGGAGTCTTCTGGATCTTGAGATCTCGCCAGATTGAAGTTGAGACATCCAGTCTTGAAAGCACGACGTGGTGGGCGTGGCTACGACAGGATATCTGGGTTGCTTTCCGTGAGAAGAGGAGAACATATAGTACATGGATGCCCAAGAAGGGATACGCGGATCTAGACAGTCATGAGTTAGCCTCTCGTGCGGTATGGATAATGGCGCAGGTAATTAACTTTTGCGCTGTTGATTCGTCTGCTGAGGTTGAAGGGTTAACGGGGAGGATCGGCTGGGCGAAGGCGCTGAGGAAGATGTTGGACGAGTGGCGGTCTCATCTCACAGTTGAGTTCTCAGCGTTGCCAACCATGGGAAATCGGGAGAGTGAAGTGTTTCAGCCACATTTGATACATCCTCAATGCTTTGGTAAGCAGCTTCAACTGTGATGTCGGATCGGATGCTAATCTAGACAGGACTCGCTGTACAGCTTCACCATTGCTCGCGCATTCTCATTACAGCACACGAACCCCATTTGGACGGTATCCAAGGCCTTCTCAAGCGCCAGAAGGACATCCAAGAGAGTATAAAAATGGTCTGCGGTATTGGTATGACACTTACAGAGGATGCGTCAAGCATGCTGTCTTCACAATGTCTTTTCATTGGTATGTCCCCAGTGCAATCGTTAGGTTTGTAGGGACTAACAGCGTGCGTGTGCAGCCGGAATGTTCATGCAGAATCTCCGAGAACGAGAATGTGTAGTAGAAATGCTGGATACATGCCAGAAGAGATGTGGTTGGCCTACACCTTCATTGAGATCAGAGCTGGAACAGATTTGGAAGAATCCGGATGCGCTTTGGGATAGCCAGCATCAGTGATGCTGCATTGTCGGGGAACCTAACCTGACAGCGAGAGTTGGTATGGTGGCGGTGGTGTCGTGTGATTTGTGATACCCATGATGCATAATTCACTGTATCCTGCGATGAGACTCTGCCGCAAAGACTCTGAATTGAACGAATATACGAGACAGGTTACATCCGTCATGCATGGTGATCTGTCGTATTGCGGTCGTAATAGGCAGCCTCCGTTTCAGCCCCCAACGCAAAACCCCCGAGATACCGCATACTCCAGCCAATGACCTCAATAAACCAAGCAAACAGCGCACAATACTTGTCTAATCTGCAATAACTGCTTTCATATACATCACAGACCATCCTCCCGAGACTCCCCGCAGCGTCCGCCAAGCCCATCACCGAATCACGCGCCCGAGACTCCCCGCCGACATGCTCTACCCCAGGACATGATCTACACCCCGCATTATGTTTGTTTGCCTTGCCGCGAAAGAGGGTGTTGGACCTTTATTGTCTCCACTACTTAAAACCATGGTGCTCTCGTAAGCTTAATTCCTATTGTCAATCCTTCTCTAATCTTCAATCCGAGAAGAAGTGAGTGAAGATGACGATACACGGCATGTTTCGGCGCATTGTGCGCAATGATGCTATTCATGTTGATCCGCCCGAGATTTACAACTGGCGTGTCATCGCCCTGACAGCTTCGGTAGGATACCCGCCGCCATGATCCGGGAATAGTGGACTAATGTTTATAGGCGTGTTTTGCTGGAGCGCTGTTTGGAGTTGATGCAGGTATCATTGGTGGCGTGCTGGCTATGCCAGACTTCAAACGGTTTGTTTCAAAGCTGCCTTTAAC